GCACATTATAGCCGCATCTCATTCAGACTCGCCAAGAGCCTTTCGGCAACCTGCCGTTCGCCTCCCACCTGAGGCAGACTGCTCTCGTTCCCCTTCGCGTTCGGGAAACTGAGGCGCAAGGAGAGAGGGATTCCAGTCAAGGCAGCGCGCTCTGGTGTTGCTGAGGCGCTCATTCTCAGCTGTCCAAGCACCCACCTGGCCGCTGGCCTCCAAGTTCCCCTGCAGGTGCTGAGAGGGTGGCCAGAAGCACACCTGTGTGGCGGCACACCTGAAATGCCAGGTGCTGCATCTCCCCGTGTTGCGGAATGTGCTGCGTCCTGGTCGCATGCACAGGGCATGCGGCTCGACCTTTCCCCGCCGTGGCATGAAGCTTTCCAGCAGATGTGCTGGCTCTTGCCAGTGTAGCCCTTGAGCATGTGCAAAGTGCCACCCCAGGGAGAACGGTCCTCTCGTTGAGGAGCTTATTGCTGGGTGAGTGCATGGTCTGTGATTCACCTGGCGGGATCGCTCCGGCGGATGTATTCCCGTCAGAGCTGGTGACCCCGTTGGCTTTGGACGGCACGGATGCAAATGCAGGTAGCTCTGGAGTCCTGAGAGGCAGTGCCAGTCGCAGAGAGCTGGCGCTGGGCCTGAGGTTGCCCCTGGCCCTGGCACGGAGCTTTTCCATGGGGCAAGGCGGGGCAGAGCAGCAGTGCTCCCGATCCGGCTGCCTCTGACTCACCTGCTGGGTCGAAGGAGCTGGGCCCAGCCTGGCACCACAGGAGGAGGCTTGGGAGCTGAAACCGCTTTGCCTCCAAAACCACCAATGCATTTCCTCTACTCTTCAACCTTCCATGCTCCGGAGAGAAGAGGAACTGAGGGCCAACGGCCAAGCACCACTTGGTATTATATTCCAAACGCACACAGAGGGTGTTAACACTGCCCCTTTTGTCGGCCTGCCTCCGTGTGCGTCTTACACAACTGTTAAAAGTCGTTTTCTTTTCCTTACAAGTGGCAGTGAGTTTTGTTTGGTGATAGTTACTATTTTCTAAAGGAACCCAAAATGAAATCACACATTTCTCCTGGAACCCAATTTGGTCACAAGTGTGATCTGTTAAGTTTTCCGGTACTTCCTCGTGCTGAAACAAAGACAGGGAAGGAAATCTCCACTCTTACGCCTCGCTGGCTTCAATATCCAAATGAGTTTGGAATTGCACGCTGTAAATTTGGTGTTGGTTTTGCTAGCGTCCCGTAACTTATAAATTGGCATGTTTGTTGCTACTATAAAAGGTGGCGATTCCTTCCCCATAAAATCAAATTTTGGATTGTCTGCTCTGCTGTGTGTGAAATCCAGCTCGACTGACGTGGAAATACGAGGTCCATGCCACTGGTTTTGATAGAATGCAACCTATAAATACACAGTTAGCTTTTCTTGGATTGCGCTCCGAGTTTTCACTTTTAATTAACTGCAGAGCTCCTGTGTTGGCATGAAAAAGCAGCGAAGTGTTGCCAAAGGATCTGAGAAGTACAGAACCTTAAAGGGATAATTCACCAGGAAATGGAAGTGGAACAGAGGCCTGCTGGACCAGCTGCCGGTGTGTCCATGCAGCGGCTGGCCAGAGAAGCTGGGCAGCCCCCAGCAAAGCACAAAGCCCACTCGTGTTCTAATGCCCTTCAAAAGTCCACTGGTCCCCCTCCATAAATCTGTCTTAATCCCCTTTGACCAGCAGCTAAACTAGCAGCCACCGTTTCCTTTTGGGATACAGTGTTAGTGTTCGCACAGCACTTTCAGCCCTCGCTTAATGCCTGCTAAACTGACAGGAAAAGGCGCATGTCTTGTCATGGCTGGACTTGGGCTCATGATTGATTGCTCCCAAACAGGCCAGGATCATAAATGGCTCATTGCTGGTTTATAATCCTGGCTTGTTGGGAAGCCACATACCAAGATGAAAATGAAGCTCCAGGGAGATCTTGATCAACTTGAACTGAAAGCTACGCATGAGATTCAGTAAGGACAAGTGCCAAGTCCTCCACCTAGGAAAAAGAAAGCAAAGGCATCGGTACAAGATGGGGTACAGTTGGCTGAACAGAACTGAACAAGAAAAAGACCTCGGAGTCATTGTGGACAACAGGCTAAACACGAGCCAACAGTGCGATGCAGCTGCCAAAAGGGCAAATGCTATTTTGGGATGCATTAACAGAAGTATTGCTTCCAAATCACAAGAAGTAGTAGTTCCTCTATACTCCCCGCTGGTCAGACCTCACATGGAATCCTGTGCCCAGTTCTGGGCACCAAGATTTAAGGAAGATGCAGGCAAATTAGAAAGGGTCCAGCGGAGGGCGACAGAAATGATGCAGGGTTTGGAGACACTGCCCTGTGGGGAGGGACTGAGAGAACTGGGCATGTTCAGCCTTGAGAAGGGAAGACCAACGGGGGGCATGATATCCCTCTAGAAGTACCTCCAAGGCTGCCACAAAGAGGAAGGTCAGGATCTCCTCTTGCTGATGCCAGAGTGCAGAACACAAAATAATCAAGTCAAGCTGCAACAACCCAGATTCAGGCTGGACATCGGGAGAAGCATCCTCACTGTCAGAGCAATACGGCAATGGGACCGGCTGCCCGGAGAGCTGGGAGGCTCTCCCACATTGGGGACATTCAGGAAGAAACTGGGCAACCACCCGAGTGGGGTGGTGTGATGTGGTGTCCTGCAACAGCAGGGGGTGGACTCGATGGCCTTCAGGGCCCCTTCCGGCTCTGCCAGTCTGTGCTTGTGTGATGTTGGGATTGGGTGCCACGGGAAGCGCTCCCTTCCCTGGTTGGTTTATCTGTGCTTGCTAAGGGAGGCCGATCGCTTGCTTGTCCATGTTCTGCTTCCTACGCCATGATTTATGGCTTACAGCATCATGCAAATGCAGCCGTGCGAGGACAGAAGCGGCTGCTCGCGATGCCAAGGCGGCTGGAAAGGGCACTGTGCCGCTAAGGCCGTGAGGCTACATGGATCCATCGGGGGGGGGGGGGGGTTCACACATGCATCTTCAGCCCAGCGACTAGGAAAGCAGGGCCCGGGGTGACCACACGGGTCTGGGAAGGCTGCTTTTGCCGCGCCAGTGCAGGAGCGGCCCCGGCAGGTGCTCAGAGGCGCCCGTTCAGTTTCCTAGAGCGGAGGCACGGGTGCTGGAAGCCGGCCAGGGACACCGGCTTCTGGGCAGAGCGGTCCGGCTTGTGTTGGCCATCGCCACTGAGGACAGCCACGTCCTTGCCGTGCGGCTCCATAGGTTGGCCTTGCCCCAGCGGAGCGGCTGGGGATGCTGGTGGGTGTAGTCCGACGTCTCTGGAGGGTGCCAGGCGGGACACGGCTCTCCGCACCGTGCCAGTAAGAGGAGATTTGCTGGCTCGATCCGGGGAGGTCACGACGAAGGTGCCCTGCAGGGCCGCAGCCGATGCGCGCGCCACGAAAGGAGAGCTGCCCCGGCCTGCTCGGCAGCAGGGTGGGCTCCGTGCGCGAGCAGAGGGGTGCCAGCGGCTCCCCCTCGCCCCGCTCCCCTCCGGCGGCGGGCTCCCCATCAGGCCTCGCTCGCGCGTCATGCATTATGCATTAAAGAGGCCGGGAGGCAATTCGGCCAGCGAGAGACGGAGCAGCGGCACGCGGGGGGAGGGGGGGCCCTTCAGCGGGCGAGACGGCGTGCCCTCGGCTGGGCAGGTGCCCGGCGAGGATCGGAGGCAGCGCCCCCCAGTGCTGGCTGCTGGGGAAGGGGGTGGCCTAGCGCTGCTCGAGGCCCTCCGGTTGGGGTGTCTGGGGGCTGCCGTGGGCCCCAGTTGCTGGATGGGGGGTCCCTCGCTCTGATCCGGTGTGCTTCGTCTCATGTGCTGGCGCCCTGGGCAGGACTGAGTGGGGACTAGAACCCAGATTGCCTGAGTCCCAGTCCTGAGTATGTAACCACTACACCACATTGCCTCTCCTGTTCCATGAGAAGCATGAAAGAGATCACAAAAACCTCTCTAGTGCAGCTGAAATGAGGAAGAACAAGACTGATGTAACAGATAACAAGAATACGGGGAGGCCAGTGGTGTGGGACATTAATACTGCCACACCATCAAAACATAATACGCATTTGCGAGAGCATGAACGCCAAACGATGGCTGGAATGCCGGGGGAGCATTGCCACTTGAGGTCGCGTGCGTGCAGAGCTGGGGCAGCCAGGCAAAGAGAGGTCGGCACAAAGGACCGGCGTCCCGAGGCAGGCTGAGAAATCAACGGGCACCTGCAGCAGGAGCCTTGGGGAGGGCCGTGCCAACTGGAGAAGTGCCCCAGCCCATCTCGCAGGTGGCGGAAGGCTTCACAGTGCCCACGGAGCACCGTGCAGTTCCAGCAATGCGTCCCCTGGGAGCACCCCCAAGACACACGCCTGACCGCCGAGGTTTCCTAGCAGCCTTCCGGGGGATCCAGGGGTGTACCTTTTGCCAGGTGGCGCAGCAAAATAGCTTATAGCAGGCCTCGGATTGGGGGAGAATTGGAAAGATCTGAAAAGCAACAGGTAAATCTCGCTGTAAGTGCATTTCTCCATCAGTGGGGGAATCCTTGCTTCCACGTAACACCCTCTGCATCCCTTCAGCTCCCCCGAAAGCGTTATTCTTGCAGTGTGGAGGCCGCCCTCCTCTGCCCCCCTCGCTCCTTTCCTGAGATCAGCTCTGGACTGGCTTTGGGGCCATCACGGGACACGGCGTGTGGCTGCCCCACCCTCCTCTCCCGGGGTTGCCGGTGCCATGAAGGGGCTTTGCCCTGATTGCTGGTGACGCTGGCCAAAGCCTCTAATGGGTTTAGGAGCTGCCGAGCGCTCCCTGCCCGGGCGGCAGTCCCGTGCCGAGCCAAGACCGGTGACGGAGGACGCACGAGGGGAGCGTGGCCCTCCTCGCAAGTTTCTCGCTGGTTTCACCCCAGCGCAACCCTACAGGTGCTTTCTCCAGGAGACAGTGATCCCGCAGCACCCACAGGTACCTGCGTTTTTAGAAGCTCGTTGCCATGGATTCAGCGCCTGGTAACAGCCAATGGCTGGATGCAGAGGTTCCCGTGGGCCCTTGCCCTGGGGAACCGGCTCAGCCTTTGAGGGACACAGGGGCTCATGCTGGGGAGGGGCCGGCGGAGGTGTCTCTCCCGGTCCCAAACCGGCGTGTGCACGTGTGTGAGCACACCTGTCGTGTGGACACTGGGGGCCTCCTGCTTGCGGAGTGGCTGTCCGAGCCACCGCGGAGGATGCCGGCGAGCGCAGCGAGTGCGCACGCCCTTCCCCGTGACAAGCGGCACGTTCCAGGCAGGTGTGTCCAAGCGAAGGGGCCCCACGGCCTCCGCTCGCAAGATCCCTTGCAGGAGAAGCTGCTGGCAGGTTTGAATCTCGTGCACAGCTGCCCAGGTTATTCCTCTGGAGCGTTTTAAAAGGGCTCCAGCACAGAATATTCGAGGGAGCCAAAAGGAAGCGCCAGGGAGGACAAGCAGAGCGCCATTCCATTAACTGCCTTCCCATCAGGTCCCTTCGCAGTGCCCGCATTGCAGGTATAGGCTTTAACCTTCATCCTCTACGGAAAACACACCTGTGTGTGTGTGTCTGAGCTGCAAGCAAGGTTTCTCCTCTGCTTCCTTGTGCTGGCGTTGTAAGCTCCTTGGGGCAGGGACCAGTCTGGCTGTTCCCCGTCCCAGAAAGCGCTATGGACAGACAGGGCATGCCTACCTCCTCCAGCTGGAAGGAGAGCTCAAGCCTTCGTAGCCCTCGCATTCAAATTGCAGCCCTGGATCTGCAGGCTCTTGGCCTTCATGCAGAACAGTCTTGGCTTGCAAAGGGACCTGTAATCTGGACACCAGTCCAAAGCATCCAGTCATCACGTGGCCTCTCTTAACTGGACTTAGCTTGAACTTGATGAGTGTTTGCAACGAAGTGGCTGCATTTCTTTTTATTGTAACCGTTCAAATTACAAAAACGCTGCATTCTGTTTCCAGTCCCAACTCCCCCGAAGCCACGAGGGATGTGAAATTGCTCTTTGCTCTGTAAGGAAGTGGGGAGAGTCTCGTTTTAGGGCCACGGGACTTTTAAAGAGGGTGCCTCAGTTTGTGCTGGAATCGTAGCAGCCGGCCTCTTGGCCCACCGTCGGTTCTTCAGTTTAATGGTGCAGGCTGGAAGAGCGTGAGGGCAAGTCGGAGACCGAGCCAGGGCGTCCTTCTGCTGATGAGGCTAAGCCTTGCTCCAGGCAAGGCGCAGCACATCTGCCAGGAAGAGCCTGTGCAGTCTCCACAGGGTTAATAGCAGTGGGGGATCCGAGCACGTGCCGTTTGCCATGGCCCCCTCTCCTTCCCACACACCTCTGCCCCCTCATTCGCACCCAGGCTGTGCGCATCTCTCAGGGTACGGTTACAGGCTGCTGAAGGGGACTTCTTCCACGGAGGACCGTGCGGGATTTCCGCTTTGCAATTTCAAGAACACAGAGTCCCTTCCAAGAACTTGAGAAGCTGCTGTGGTTTAGCGCAGCGGATTTCAACACAGGTCTGTGGACCGGCGCCGGTCCGCGGGAGATTCCTACCGGACGGGGGTGTATGGCGGCTGTATCCCGCTCACCATGGACCAGTGCAGGGACTGGCTGTGCTCCACCACCTCTTCCTCAGTTGGCATCGTGTTCATGGGGGGGGGTGCACTGGGGGGCCGGGGGGCGGGGAGAGACTGCTGGGTAGGAGCTGGCTGGGAGCCACGCCACACCGATTTCGGTATTTTGTTCTTTTGTTGGCATTTGTTGTGGCTTGGTTTTCATTTTTGGGGTATTGTGTGTATAGTGCTTTAGTTCTGCCTCAGTATCCCCAAGGCGGTTTTGCTGTTTTCGCCGGTCCCCGGCTGTGGAAAGGTGGCAAGCCACCGGCTTGGAGGCTTGCGTGTGGGAGCCGGGTTCTAGCTCTTCCTGGGCCATGAAGCTCACGGGGTGACTTTGGGCCAGGCACGGACTCTCAGTCCGACCTGCCTCACGGGGCTGTTGTGAGGATGAAAGGGAGAGGAGGACTGCCATGTAAGATGGGATGTATGTTAAAGATGATAAATTATAACCCCAGGTCGTGGGCCACAGTCTGTGGGTGCTCAGCTGCTCCAGAGGCTGGTCTGGCGAGCTCTGGGGATCAGCCACGTGCAGCGGCAGCGCTGTGCAGGCAGAAGGTGGTGCAGGGGCCGGTCCTTCCGTGAGGTGGGCCGGGCGGAGGCCCAGGCCTGCTCCCGCCAGCGACGAAGCCCCAGGCCCAGATTTCCTCCGGTCCCCGTGGCAGAGCGGTGGGCCACTCTGGTGGCCGGATGTGTTGCCAAACGTGGCAGCGGTGGCATGAGAACCGGCCGCAGGGCAAACCTGTGGAGATGGGAAACAGGCCGGTTCGGCTTGTTTTCAAGGAAAGTGCGCCCGCTCCAGCCTTGAGGCAGCTCAGAGCTGAAACGCAGCAGCAACGCCCACGAGGCTCCTCCGCCACGGACCTTGGTGGCCCCGAAGGAGAGGGGGCACGGCGGGGCCCAGGCCCTCGTGCACAAGCGCGGCCCGTTTCTCCAGCCCACGGGGTTGGGGCCGGGGCCAGGCCTTGTTGGCCAGGTGCCTCGTGGCCCCGCCGGCCGTGGGGAAGGCCTTGGCGCGCCGCCCCACTGTGAAGGGGGCAGGTGAGTGCTGGCACGCATCCCCCTAGCCGTGGGCGGGCACAGGGCTTCGGGAAAAGCGGCTGTCCCTGGGGCCGGCAACCCTGCCTGCGCCCCAGCCCGGCTCGTGGAGGGCCGGCGTCGCCCTAACCCCCGGCTTTCCTTCCTCTGGCCGGCAGCTGCTCTAGGATGGCCTCACGGGAGGCCCCACTCGGCTCGCTGTTGCTGCTGGGGCTCGTGGCACTCCAGGCCCACGCGTGTCCCGCCGCCTGCCGCTGCTACAGCATGACCGTGGAGTGCGGCTCCTTGGGCCTGAAGGAGATCCCGGGGAGCATCCACCCCTCCACCCAGGTAAGCCCTGCGCCCCGTCCGGGCCGGCGCGCCCGTCGGTGCCGAGCCTGCCTGGGCTCCTCTCCAGGCCCCCGCCCTCCGAGGGCGGCTGGGGCGGGCCGGCACCCAGGTGGCTCTGCTGCTCGCCGTGGGGCAGCCACCCTGCTCCCGCCGCACCTTCTGGCTCGCTCTCCCCGCCTGTGATCTGAAGCGTGTGTCGCACGGGTTCTTTTTCACCTCTTTCGGCCGCTCGGATGATTTACGCCGCGCTTTTATTGTCAAGCAATTATCCTTCTCCGTTGCCAAGAACCGTGGGCTAAAGACCACGGAGCAGTGTTTTCTGTCATGAACAAGTCGTGGCGGTTGGTTGTTTGCTGTGCGAAAAGGGAACGGCCGCGCTCTCGGCCCGCTGTGCAAACATCCAATTACTGCCGGCTCCCCTGAGCCGCTGCGAGAGCCGGAGCAGCCGCAGCCCCAGCCCCGTGCGTGCGGCCTGAGGACCGGGCGGCCAGCGGGGGCTCCCCGCCGGGACACCTCTCCGTGCCAGGGGCCGGGAGCGGGAGCAGGAGGGCGCTGTGGTGCGTGCGTCCTGCCCATGGGCTCCCGCAAGCGCACGGAGGCGGCTCGGCCTCAGCCGTTGGCCTCATCCAGCGCGGCCTCTCTGAGCCTGCCTTTGCCCGTGCGGAGGAGCGAGCTGGGGTGGCCCGGGTGGCGGGAGCCGGACGCAGAACGTGGCAAGCCTCAGGGTGCCGGAGGAGGTGGGAGGCAGCAGCCGGGGCCAAAGAAAGTCGGGGCCAGGCCTCTGCTCGCTGGCCTTGGGCTGTCCTACCTCCTCGGAGTGCGACCGGCCGCAGAGGAGAGACCTTGAGGTATTTCTCTGAGCTGCCTGGAAGAAAGGAGAAAACGTGAGAAAGAAATCAAGAAAGAGATCTGCGGGGATGTTGCATTTGCTTTTCGCCCAGAAATAAATCCTAAAAGGCTTGGAGTCTCCTGTGAGGCTCTGAAGCCCATTAAAGGCGCTCTCTCCTGGTGTTCCTGCAAAGGAGAAGGCAAGGAGAAGCGGCCCCGGGACGGGACGGCTCTTCAGAAGCAGGAAGCCACATGCAAACCGCTGTCCCGGTGCCTCTTTTCCCTCCCTCCCTTCAGTGCAAAGGCTTCCCTGCGGTGCTTTCCTGGAAGGCATTGCAAGTTGCTTTCCATAAGCTCCAAATGGCTGAGGGGGTGGAATTTACCTGGCATGGATTTGCTTCGAACTGGGCCATGGTGCTGGGGGAAAAAGATCTTAGACCAATCAAATGGGGGGCTTCGAAAGCGTGGCTTTGTGGGCGGGTGCGGACACACACTCTGGCCGGCCGCCTTGGGCCCCAGCGCCACCCGGAGAGTTTGTCCCGCCAGCCTCACTGCTGTGGCGAGCAGAGTTGCGCTCGGGGGCCCTGACTCTCCCCTCTGCGCTCCTGCAGACCGTTTTCCTGCAGGACAACGGCATCACGCAGATCCACCAGCAAGACCTGGCCTCCCTCTCGGGCCTGCAGTACCTCTACATGCAGAACAACACCATCTCGGCGCTGGAGCCGGGCGCCTTCCGCAACCAGAACCGGCTGCTGGAGCTGGCGCTGAACGGCAACCGCATCCATCTCATCAACAGCAGCATCTTCAAGGGCCTGGAGCACCTGCGCGTCCTCTACCTGGCCGGCAACCAGATCACCCGCCTGCCGGACTTCACCTTCTGCGAGCTGGAGGTAGGTGGCCTTCCGCAGCCCTGGCGTCTGGCTGCCCTCTGCTCCCGGGGCGTCCTCCTCGTGCTCGGCCCGGGCTTGGCAGGCAAGCCGGGCCAGGAGGAAGCCCGCGGGTGTTCCCAGAGGACCGCTTGCACAGCCGGCAACCTCCTTCATGCGTGTGGAAGAGGGGCTCCTGTCGCAGGGGGATACGCAGCCCCGATCCCCAGCAGGTGCCTGCCTGAGCTCATGCACCACGCTGGACTGAGGGCTGGGAGAGCTGGCCAGAGTCCAGGCAGCTGAGCCGGGCCGAGGGACTCCAGCAGTCACCCCCAGACCGGGTTCCTTGCACTTCCCTGCGTGGAGGCGAGGCCAGCGAGGGGCAGAGCAAAGGGCCCCTCTCCGCCTTCCAGAGCTGAGGGTACGGCCATGGCTTATCCAGGGCCGGATCCGGCCAGAGCAGTTGGGTGGCTCAAAGAACAGGCTGTGGTGGGAGGGGGCGGGGAGCCACGGTGCGGGCCCCCCGCTGCCCGCCTCTCTGCTTGCCCCCTTGCAGAGGCTGCAGGAGCTCCACCTGCAGGAGAACAGCATCGAGACGCTGGAGGAGGCGGCGCTGGCCGGGCTCTCCTCGCTGGCGCTGCTGGACCTCAGCAAGAACAGCCTCCGCACCATCGCCCGGGCGGCCCTGCGGCCCCTCATCAGCCTGCAGGTGCTGCGCCTGACAGGTAGGGACGCGCCGACACAGGGCGGGGGCGTGGCATGGCGTAGCAGGGCAGGGCGGCAGGCCGCGATCCGTCGGCCAGGCGGGGATCCTTTCCCTGACTTCCGGCTCTGGGGGCGGCTGAGTTAGTGTGAGGGTTCCTCCTGTGCGCGTTGAGACACGCTCTTGCCAGGCGCTCTGTTCTCTGAAGTACAATGAGTGAGCAGCGTCGCCACAGAATGTGCCTCTGAGCATGCACAGAGGAGCTGTGGAGCCCAGGCTAGCCACTCTTTCCAAGAAGGCCCGTTGTGAGTGCCCCCGGAGGAGCCTGTTGGGGGCGGGGCGGCCCCTTTCCCGGCCTGCGCCCCTCTCACGTGCGAGCCCTTCTTCCCAGGCGCGTCATCAGGGTCCAAGAGGCGTGCCAGGCTCTGCCGGCCCCGGAGCGCCTGTCCCACGCCCCCTCCTGATGGCTGCAGACGCGAGCTATCCTCAGAGTCCCCCCGAAGCCCCCCTGCGTCTCCAAGCCTGGGGGTGCCAGTTCCCAGGGCCCCTCACCTGGCGAGGCCAACCCTGCCCGCCCCGGGAACGGCACCTCTGTCATTCCCCAAAGCTGAAATGCGCACGCTGGAAAAGCAAGTGGACGCCTCCCAACGCGATGCCTGCAGAATTGGCCAGTTTGTCCAAATTGCCCCATTCCACGTGCTTTTCATATTCTGAATTGGGCAAAGGGGCTGATTTTGCGAACACTGTGCTGGGACGGTGTGCTTTCTGCTTTCTACCGAAATTTCCTTAGTGGTTTTTTTTTTTAAATACGCAAGTCACGGCCCCTCTTAGAGATGGAAACCTGCCCTGTGCTGTGGCAACTCTGGCTGCAGCTCGGGGTCAGCAGGCGCCCCTCCAGGGACGGGGAGAGCCATGAAGCCCATCGGATGTGCCTCCCCGAAGGACTTCTCACACCCCCTGCAGAGGCGCGCATGGGAGCACCATTGCTGGCCCACGAGCGCCCCCTGCAGGCCAGGGGAACCTCCTCGCAGGTTGGCGGCCTCCCCGCTCCGCCCCAAGTGAGAGGAGGAGGATGCTGTTGGGCAGGAGGCGCGCCTGGGGGGGCGTGGAGAGGGGCCTCCTGCCAGGTCCCGTCAGCTCGTGGGTGGGCTGCGGGTTCGGCCCCCCAGTGCGCGCGTGGGAACGGGCACCCGCGGCACGGGGCGGAGGGCTGGGCGGAGCGCTGGCCGCTGAGCGCGCCTCTCCTCCTCCGGGCAGAGAACCCCTGGCGGTGCGACTGCGCCCTGCACTGGCTGAGCGCCTGGATCAAGGACGAGGGGCAGCGGCTGCTGAGCCCCCTGGACAGGAAGATCGTGTGCGCCGAGCCCCCGCGCCTGGCCCACCAGAGCCTGGCCGACGTCTCCGGCAACAGCCTGATCTGCATCCCGCCCGTCGTGCAGGTGGAGCCGCTGGAGGCGACGGCCCGGCCGGGCGACGACCTGCGCGTCTCCTGCCAGGCCTCGGGCTACCCGCAGCCCCTGGTGACGTGGCACAAGGTGGCCCACTGGCGGGCCGGGGGGCCCAAGGCGGGCGGGGGCCGCCGGCCGGGGGGCACCTTCGAGCTGAGCGAGCGCAGCGTGGGCGAGCGCTTCGAGCAGTCCGACACGGGCAGCGGGATGCTGTTCCTCAGCAACGTGACGGGCGCCCACGCGGGCAAGTACGAGTGCGAGGCCTCCAACCCCGGCGGGACGGCCCGGGCGCTCTTCCACCTGCTGGTCAACCTCTCGCAGCAGCAGCAGCAGCAGCAGCAGCAGGCGGGCCGGGGCCGCCCGGCCTCCGTGGACGTCAGCCAGGAGCCGCTGTACGACATGGAGAGCATGGACTTCAACGCCCTCAGCGCGGCCACGCAGACGGCCATCGCCGTGGCCATCTCCCTCCTGGCCCTGGTGGCCCTGCTGCTGGTGGCCATGATCTACCGCAGGCACCGCAAGCGGAAAAAGGCCAAGAAGGAGGAGCACATCCTGTACGTCAACGACTACTCCGACGGGCCCACCACCTTCGCCCAGCTGGAGGAGTACCGCGACGAGCGCGGCCACGAGATGTTCGTCATCGACCGCAACAAGCCCCTCTTCGCCACCTACAAGGACCCCCAGGGCCTGGCGGGGGCCTTCCCGGAGCAGCTGCAGGACCAGGCCACCCAGACCCCGGAGGGGGAAGAGGACTGCCCGCCCGAGGCCGGCGAGCTCTTTGCCAGCCCGGGGTTGATGTTCCAGCCGCAGATCGCGTACGAGATCCACTGCTGAATGGCTGGGGGAGCCTGGGGGGCCCCCGGCCCCACCGCAGCAGGCCTGGGGGGCCGGCCCCCTCGTGGGGGCTGCTGCAGCCCCTCGGCCCCGCCCCGCCGTCCCGACCTTTTGGATGGGCCCGCTTTCTCCCTGGTTCAAGGAGACGGGGGAGGAACCCGTGACGCCTCGGTGACAGCCCCACAGGGGAAGGAGGGCTTCTCTCCGAGCCACTCCCGCCCCACTTCTGCCCGCTCGGCACCGCCCCTGCCACGCCATGGGGGGAGCGGCCAGACGCCCTGCGGGTGCTCTCGGCAGAGACCAGGGGGCCATTTGCGGGCGCCACATCGAGCCGGGCTCTAGCAGCAGAGGGCACGAGGGGCTGCCCAGCAACAGCCACCGCTCGGCCCCTGCGGGCTCTGCCCCACGTTAGTTGCATCGTCAGCCGTCTGCCCCACCGCGCCCTGCGGCTGAGGCGTGGGAGCCCAGAGGAAGCCGCTCTGGGCAAGCAGGACGGAGGAGGAGGAGGAGGCCGGGAACGTCTCGCGCTGGGTGACCCCGGCCGGCCCCTTGGCCAGCCGGGGACACGGCAGGCACCCCCGCGTCCTTCCTGCAGGCAAGAGCGCCCGTCTGCTGACGGAGAAACGGACTTCTGCTTTTCGGTTTCGCTCTTCGGGTTTTTTAAGGATAAAAGCACCACACTTGCGCAGAACTGAACCGCATGGGCGCATTTGCGGGTCCTGCCAACACCTCCTCTTCTGGTGCTACACAAAAAGGGGGGCCGGGATGCAACTGCAAAGGCGGGGGGGGGGGGGGGAACCAGGGCGGGAGCAAGTCCTGCTGTTCATGTGAGGGAGCCAGTAAAATGGCGCCGTGACGGGGGCTGCCAGGGCCCCTTTCCTGGAACCTGTGGACACGGATAAGTCAGTGGGCAGCCGTGAAGCGGAGCGAAGCCTAGGAAGTCCCTGCTGGATCGCACCCGGGGCCACCTTGTCCGGCACCACGTGGTGGTACACATGGTGGGGGGCCGGCTGCCACCGATCCCTCCGGCGGGAGGGAATGGGGCCCCCTCCCAGCCACGCTCCTCGGCAGCTGGGGCACGCGGGCAGGCCGCCTCCGGTGGAGGAGGGAGCCCGTGGCCAGCAAGGCTCGTGGCCGCCGAGAGCCGCCTCTGCCAGAGCCATCCAGATCGGCAGCCATCGCCCCTTCCTTCCGGCGGCAGCCAGTTCCCTCCCTGAACTGCGCATCGTGTGAAGGAGCCCCCCTTGGCGGCCCCCCCAGTTGGCTTCACCGGATGCCCCGCTTCAGGTGCTGTGGGAGCAGGAGGAAAAAGCATCCCTCTCCATTTCCTCCCCCCCATGCATTATTTTAAACAAAAGGGGGGGGGTTTCATCCTATGTGTCATGTGGGGAAACGATGGGCCCAAGTTGCGCTGGCCAACAGGAGCCCGTGCGCTCCTCCTCCAGCCCTTTGTCAGATAATGCGCATGGACAGGGAACGTGCCCCGGGAGGGGGGTGTTATTGGGGGGGGGGGAGTCTCTGCAGAGCTGGAGGCTGAAGGATTCTGTACCTCGCCACTTGCAGAGGATCACGGCCAAGGACACTCCCGCCCTTGGCACTGGTGGCTGGAGGGGGGCCAAGGCACAGAAGTGAGCTGGGCCACGTGGAGGCGAAGGGGGACGTGGACCGGGAACGTGGGATCCAGAATGCGTATTTCCTAGAATCGTCCCCGACTTTCCATGCCTGTGCTCAAGCGAAAGAAAAGATCCGAGCATTAAAATCCACTCGCAAAGCACCCACAGCCGCTCCCAGCACCTCCTTGGGCCAGGCGCCTTCGAAGAGTCAAAACAGCCTCTCTGCATCCCTGCCAGAGCGCCCTCGGATGCCCTGAACGGAAGAAGAATGGGTGCCGATGGGATTCGGCTGGCAGGGGTGGGGGGCAGGTTCAAGAGCGCGCCCCTCTGCATGAGGGGCTGCCTCGTCTGTGTCTGTCGGCTCGTCCTTGAGGGTGGGAGCGCTCCGCCTCTGGGGCTTCGTCCGGATCCCCCGTGCCCCCCGGTGGCCCCCGCTTAGCCTGCCCCTGCTTCACCTGCCCCTCCACCCAGCTTCCCACTGCCCTCTTCCCAGCTGCTTCACACAGGCGGCTTGCTCGAGGGCCGCACGAGCTGGGCCTGATGGGAGCTGCAATCCAAAGCATCACAGGGGCACTCGGCTGGGGAGACGTGGGCATGCAAGTACGTAACCTCGGCCCCGCGGCCTTGCCGGGGAGGCAGAGAACGCCCTGCACCAGACACGGCCGCTCCCGGCCCAGGCAGTTCGGGCTTCTCCACGGAGCTTTCCATGCAGAGCCCTGTGGGAAAACCGGCAGGGTCACGGGCCCATTTTATCTCCCCGGGTCTTGTATGTACCAGGAGGAGCCAAGCAGTGTGGGCAGCAAAAGACAAAAATGGCCCGGGTACAGGGTAGAGGCCACTGGGGCTCACATGGCAGGAGCCGATGGCGAATCTAAGAGGAGGCCTTTGGGCCAGGAGGCCACGGGTTGTCCTGCCCAACCTCCTCGAACGCCTGTGGCGACACACAGGAGCAGGGCTCCGGAGGGCGTCCCGGGGAGGGTTGGTGGCCTGCTAGCGCTGCCAGGCCTGCTCTCCTTGCAGCCTCATCCGGTTCCATCCAAACCTTTGGGGCTGATGAGCGCATCTGAAACGTTGGGAGGGTGTCATGGGCTCTCGCAAAACGGCTGCCGTGGGGCATCAGGAGGTGAACTGGCAAGGGGAGAAGGAAAGTAACCACCCCAGAACCCAGCAGTCGAAGCGGAAGCAGGAATCCCGGTTCCAAAACACGAAACCACTCTTGCCGAACGCCGTGGTTTTCTGCTCCAGCGCCTAAAGGACCGGGCTAGAGCAGAAGCCAAGCACTCAAAAAACCAAGCTCAGACAAGTGGCTTCCGTGATGGTACTCAAAAGCGCTGATAATTAGGATCAATTTATTGAGATGTACGCCATTTCTGGAGGAAGGCAGGGAGCGGGGTGCAGCTCTTCCCGCTGGCCACGAGGAGCGGTGTTCACTCCGTGTCGCCCTCGCTCAGCACGCCTGCCTCGATGAGGAAGAGCCTGGTCTTGTACCCGCGGTAGGCCGACTGGATCTTGGTGGCTGCCTCCTGCTGCAGGCGCAGGGCCTTCCGGGCCTTCCAGCCCCGCCAGAAGGACTGGATGATGGTGGCTGCGCGGGCGACGTGCCACACGTGCTTCCGGGTCTTGAACACCCGCCGCTGCCCCTCGCCCATCCGGCGGGCGCAGTAGTTCTCGTACAGCCACTCCGAGGTCTCTCCGGACACCACCACCTGCTTCTGGAGGCTGGTGGACGAGAAGCTCCGGGCCATGTGCCCCTCGCGCGCCGGCCGGGCCGAGGCATGTGGGGGGGCGTGGCGCTGGCTCAGCCCCATGGGTTCCCGGCCCTGTCGCCGGGAGTGCTCGACGGCCGCTGCGTGCCGGGCGTCTGTGGCATGGCTCTGGGGGCCCACCTGGTAGGAGACGCGATGGCCGGATGGGTAGGGCCTGGCGGGGGACTCGCCTCGCTGCCGGGCAGAGGGGTGGCGCGGCGCGCGGGCTTCGCAGTCGCTCTCCTCCGCCTCCGATTCGGAGTGCAGGGGGCCCTTGCCCACGCCCACCAGCACGCGGACGCTGGTGCACCGCCCGCACTGGGGGCACGCCCTCTCCGGCGGGGACTCCTCGGGCTGCTGCTCCTGCGGGGACGGTGGGCGCCGGGGCACCTCCCTCGCCCACTCCTCCGGCTTGCCCACCAGGCACTTCCGCCAGTGCTTCCGGGGGTACGGGCCGACCCAGGCGGCGCTCCCCGGCCCGTAGCTGGGGTAGCCGCGGTACGCCCGGGGGAGCTCGGGGCGGCGGGGCCCTCCCCTCGCAGCCCGCCTCACGCAGTAGCCCCGCCAGTGCGCCTGGATGGTGGTGGCGGCCCGGCTGCACTCGCGGAGGGTGCGCCGCACCACGTACCCGCGGTAGTGGGCCTGGAGGACCACGGTGGCCCTCTCCCTGTCTGCCTGGGAGGGGCCCCAGGACCTCCGCCGGCCCTCGGAGGAGGCGGGCGAGGGCACTCTTCTGCGGCGCCCATACACTTGCCAGGGAGGCACCTGGTCCCGCTGCATGGCCAGGTACTCCCGGGTGATGAAGCGCCGCCAGGCCGCCTGGATGGTGGAGGCCGCGGCGTTCTCGGTGGCGATCTGCCTGCGCACCAGGAAGCCGCGCCACGAGGCCTGGATGGTGGTGGCCGCCTTATCCATGAGCATGTCAAGCTCGTCCACCAGGAAGGAGGAGCGCCGGTGGGAGCGGCTGCTGCTCCGGGCCCGGGCCTGATCCTGCGCCCGAGCCTGGACCCTGGCCAGGTGCGGGTCATAGCGATGCTCCCCATCCTCATCTTCCTCGTCCTCCCCGCTCTGGCCACTGTAGGGGCACCATGGGTGATCCTCATAGGTTTCCATCCTGGAGGGGGAGAATGGCGGGCGTTGGTGGGCTGGCCGAGATCCCCGCGCCTTCTGGGGCTTTGGGAGGGGGCTGATGCAGCCCTCGCTCACAGTGCGCCCATCGTGTCCCCGCGTCCGAGGGCCGAGCCCGTCCTCCTGGCTTCATGAACTCTTTCTCCCCAGGACTGCCGAAACGACGGCTGTTTTCTTTGGTCTCTGGCCCAACGGCCAGCCACGGTTCTCTCCTGCCCTTCCAGCTCCTTTCCTGCCCTTCCAGCTTTACAGGCCTCTGCCGGCTGGCCCTCCCAGAGCACCCTCGCCTCCCCGTCCTCCCCCACCCGTTGCCCTCTGCGGCGGCAGGGCTGCTGGCATCTCTTGCGGAGGCCCGGCCGGCGCTTGCACGGCTGTGGGCGCTATTCCCAGGTGGCTCCTGCCCGAGGTTTCTTAGGTCCTCGTGGAGTTCAGGCACTTCTTTTGCAAAACTCATTTCTAACTGCCCCTGCCCCCAATTCCTTGGGGGCTTCTGCAGCCCCCGGACGCTGCTCTGGGTCTCTCCCACTCATCCTCTGGGACTGCAGTCGGGA